AAAATAGGGTCACAAAAATAAAAACTAGGCACCAAAAACAAGGTACTGAGTGTGGAGCCAGCAGGGAGCTGAATGAGAAGTTATTTACACGGTAGTTGGCGTACTGTGGTTTTCATTGGAACCTCTTGTTATGTTGACATTGGTTGGAACTTGGAACTATTTTTGGGAGCTTTAAAAAACATCTAGACTGTGCCTCCCACTTTTATTCATATTGTGCACAATATCTTCTTTTATTAAAGTCACAGACTTTTTCTTTAAATGGCTCCTGTTTAGCTCCCGCTGACTAAGCCAAACCAAAAAACTGGCCAAAAAAATAAAAACAAACAAACCAACCCAGCTGTGTGGCAATCTACTTCCATAGAAAATGGGAAATAGTGGGAATGTAAATCTGTAGGAAATTGTCAAGACCAACATCTACATTCAGGAGCATGGAGGTATGCAGGTGGACCTAAATTATGGGGGTGAGGAGGGGAAATACAGCTATCACATCATGGCACTGCATAGTCTCCCCTAAATCTGCTTCACAACAATTATGTGCATCACCAGATGAACAAGTAGTTGTAGCTATTGACCTGGAGGAAGAGCTGGGAAACAATGTGCCATATTCCCCTGAGAAAATGACATGAAAGATACTGACTGGAGAGCTTATGTGACCACAACAGCTATCATGGGAACAATAGCAGCACAGTTTAGCTACTATGGTTACTAGCACTACAGAAAACCTGATAGACACTTACAGATAGCAATTGAGTCAGACACATGCTGCCATTGCTGGTAAAGGGAAGAACCAGGGGCTGCACTGCAGCAGAATTGCTATAAACATAGGATCTGAGGTCTGGCTGATATTCAGATTTTCAGCCTCCTCAGGGAGATTAGGTTTTGTCCACTGCCCATTTCTCATCGCTACCAGTCTTGTTTTTCCATAAGGATGACGTGGTGTAACTGCATCTTTTGGGAGTACATATTCCTCTTTTGTGCATTTGTACATGGGAAGGGTCAATATCATCCCTACTAACTGTTATAACAAATTGAAACTTGCTACTGAAATTCATGTTTTGGTCTTATTTTGGTCCAGAAAGTTTTAAAAATTGAACTGGTAAATTCAAAATACAAGGCAGAATGATGTAATCCTTCATATTTTAAATAAAAACATACCCTGCCCCATCTGGAAAAAAGCACCAAACTATGCCAGGCCTAAATTGGCTGTTTGAGCTAAACTCAGGGTTGTGAGTTCAATCCTTGAGGGAGCCACTTGGGGATCTGGGGCAAAATCAGTACTTGGTCCTGCTAGTGAAGGCAGGGGGCTGGACTCGATGACCTTTCAAGGTCCCTTCCAGTTCTAGGAGATGGGAGATCTCCATTAATTAAATTAATTAATTAAATACCTTTATATTTATGACCTCTAGTCACTATTAATGCAGAAAGTGTCTAGCTAATTGGTTTCTTTCATTACAATCCTGGAAACATGCAATTGATAAAATACTGAACAGATGAGTTGTGATGTCATAATGACATCACTGTGTTAGCTAGTATCAGTCAGGATTTTCAGTCCCACTGTGTCACTCCAGGAAGAATCACTTTCAGGATTTGGTAATTCCAAGTACAGTGCAACGCACAGGTACATTCACCATTAATCAGCAGAAGGAGAGAAGAAGTGGGATTGATGGCATGCTTGGCATGGAACTCCAAAGATAGTGTTCAGATTGTTCTTAGTACATTCAGCTATATTTGTTAAAATGACATTCTTTGATTTTAGAGACCAAATTTAGGATCCTTTCAGATCTGCTTGCTCAAGCACCACTACTAATGAAATCAATGGGACTTCACTAGGAGTTTTTCCTGACTAAGAAATGAGTTAGGTTTCTTGAATAAGACTCAGACAAGGATGACTTTAAATCAGGACTATTTTAGAGGTGTATGGAAGCTAGAAAAAGCTTCAGAACTTTTTTTGTGCGGAAATGTATCATTTACCCTTTCCAGCAATACAGGGCTGAATCTTGACCACATC